GAAATTTTAAAACTCAATTACTTCATTTTTTTATTGAATTTTATATCCAATTCAAAGATTCATTTAATTATTTAATTTTATATATTTTATGATTAAGTATTGGGAAGATTAATTTTAGAGAAAATCGCCTCAGTGACCAAAAATATCTTATAATATACGATTTTAACTAACTTTTTTTGGATTTGCCAAAATGACCAATAAAATAGAATCGCAATGCGATTGAGAGAGTCGCAACGCGATTTAGAAGAAAATCGCAATGCGACTGAGAGAATCGCAATGCGATTGAGAGAATCGCAACGCGATTTAGAAAATCGCAACGTTAAAAAGATAGTTAAAAGATTTTTGTTTCTTAAGAATTTTCTCTAAAAAGATAGTATCCGCGCGGACGTGTCGAAGACACGTATTACCACGACCACGACCATGACCCGACCCGACCCGAGACGACCCGACCCGAGACTAGACGGCGGCGACGGCGGCGACGGCGCGCGAGAGTCCCCCTTGTCCTCTTTCACTCAACAAGGAAGTGCAAAATACAAGCCTTAAATACCATTCCCAATAGTATTTCCAATACTATGTGGGATTGAGCATTACCAACACTTGTTCCAAATATCATTATTCTTCATAAGTTATCATCCATTACAATATGAATTAGTCGTGTTAATGAACCAATATACCTCATTAATATATGGTATTGTTGAACAAAAGAATGATGATGATGATCTTATTAAAGACCATCTAATACGAAAGAATCCAATGCATAACCGATACCTTATTGTGAAACTAATTCACATAGAGGTTGTACGTGAAAAAAAAATCTTTTACTTTTATAGTAAATATCTATCTCAATAATTTTAATATAAAAATATATTTTTTATTTAATAATAGAATTATTTCATGTATTTATCAAGTTATAATTTTAAATACTTATTAAAATGAATTAATTTATTATCGATAATTCATATTGTAATGGATGATAACTTATGAAGAATAATGATATTGGGAACAAGTGTTGGTAATGCTCAATCCCACATAGTATTGGAAACACTATTGGGAATTATATTTAAGGCTTGTATTTTGCACTTCCTTGTTGAGTGAAAGAGAACAAGGGGGACTCTCGCGCGCCGCCGTCGGGTCGGGTCGGGTCGGGTCGGGTCAAGGCGGGTCGTGGTCGTGGTCGTGGTCGTGGTCGTGGTAATACGTGTCTTCGACACGTACGCGCGGATACTATCTTTTTAGAGAAACAAATGTTTTTTTATTTTCAACGTTGCGATTCTCTCAGTCGCATTGCGATTTTCTTCTAAATCGCGTTGCGAACTTGGAAGCTCGCGTTGCGATTTTCTTTTGACCGTTGCGATTTTTTTTTTAACGTTGCGATTTTCTAAATCGCGTTGCGATTTTATTGGTCATTTTGGCAAATCCAAAAAAAGTTGGTAAAATCGTATATTATAAGGTATTTTTGGTCACTGAGACGATTTTCTCTTAATTTTATTAGAGTCGATGCTAGCCGAATAAAACCAATTATAGGTATAATCTTGATAGGAAAAGGTTGTGTGTTTTTCTAGAGGACAAAAGCTAACGGAGAGAAAAAGGGGAGAAATACAAGAGGAAAGCAAAAGTGTAGGGAAAGCAATAATAAAGATGGTAAAACGGGTGAAGCAATGGGGTAATAATTCATACTGATATGACCAACAATGATAAATTAACTATTTAAATACATTTAATCAAGTCATTTATCGTGAATATTTAACTGTTAAGGTGCCTTATTAAATTGATTAATAATATTTATTTTGAATTACAAGTAAAGTTTTTTTTGACGACATTAAAATTTGTATACTTTATTTTTTTCTGATTAATAATATTTATTTTTAATTATGAGTGTTATTTTTTTTTATATTTTGTAATAGGTTAAGGTTCGAATTGTTTTATTATTACTTTTGGTTTCATTTTTTTGGTATTCTTTATAATTTAAGGTAAATAAGAGATGGTGCGAAATAATAATTAATCATAATTGTTTTATTATCTCGGATCAAATCTCCAGCACAAATTTAATTCATTTTTTTCTATCAGATGGTGTCACGTGTTACCATTTAATTGGAAGAATGAAATCATAAATTAAAAAGAAGGCCCTCCAAAAATGTTGTGACACATAACACCATTGGCACATGTCTTCATATAATTAGAGGATTAAATTAATTTAAAAATATGACTAATGTGATAGAATGTGTAAGTACACTAATTTTATTGATTGTGCCATCACCGCTTCCGTTAAATGTTGACGGTAAGTGACATGATTGAATATATTTAAATAGTTGAGTGAGCCGATTGATAAAAATTCAAAAATAATGGTCAAAATGTAAAAAGAGTTATAATTAGATATTCATCGGTATATTTTAACTTCAAATAAAATGTTTTCTGATCAGTCCTTTCTTTCTCCTCCTCTATTTCTTGGCATTCTAAAGCTCATTATATTTATTGATGAGCTTCCATGTCTTTCTTCGATGAAAATATCTCTCAATTCTTTTACGCTCTCACGAAATAATTCGTCTGAAAAATATATGAATTTTGTTGTTGTTGTTGCTGAAGACAACTCTCCTTTTTAGTGTTTTAAGGTTTCTCGTTTTTAAAGGCTTTTAAGCATTAAGAGATGTTTAAACGGGTAATTCAATAACCGATCAGATCAAATTAAATTATCAAAATTTTATTAATCGAATTATGAACACACCAAGTACCAATGGAGTCAATATAGAACGAAGGGCGTCAAATCACATTCCAAATTTTCTATATAATTTATATATATATATAATATATAAATAATAAATGACATAATTTTTAAAATAAATTATATATAAATTTATTTATTTATTATAATTTAAAATTTCTAGTTCCGTTCTTGTTTTTAGGTATGTGCCAGGTGGATCTTATTTTTTTGATCCAATTGTAGTCTTTTGGCTGTTGATTATTCTCTAGACAATTTACGACGTTAACACGATTATTCACAATAAATATTGATGTAACAAAAGAATTTAATTGATCCTTTTAAAAAGTTTAGAATCTTAGTTGATTTTTTATATATTACTGAAAATCACAAATTCTCTAAGGCATCCAAAGATATTATAGCATGGTGCCCCGTTCACCCTTTTCTTAATGCAGATTTAGGTATATTTGATTGGTGGCATAATACACCTTTTCTTTTTTCAAACTAAAAAGCAAGTTCAGTGTGCAGCTAATCAAATCTTCATCCCAGTCCTGCCCGAATTCTCTCTCTTTTTTCTTTGGATTAGAGGACGAAAGGATCATTTTGGCAAAACAATATACTAAATCCACTTAAAGGTGTAATGATATTTAAATCATAAATAGAAATTAAATAATGAATAATTATATGAGTATCAAACATATTCACCTTATAACCAAATAATGCACTTTTTGTCCCAGCTTATACCAAAACATACTGTCCCTTCAATTGGAGAATATTTTCTCAGCCAACTTTCATTTCCTGTCTCTTTTAAGTGGAATTAAAAGTAGAGTTTTGGGGATTGTAGGAGCTTTTTCTTCTTGGCACATGCATTAAGAACGCCTTTATCTTTTTTTTTAGTTAATTTATATCATGCAAATGTAATAGTAAAAGAAATGCATTGGGATGTGAGGTTCTTTAAGGTAGGCCTGGAAATGATTAGATTAGCCAAATGATTTGTCAATACCACCAAGGTCCACAAAAAATCTTAATATCCGATTTTATGTAAAAAAATATTTAAAATCGGATTTGGAAAAAATCGATTTTTTTAAACCGGATCGGATATTTTAAAACCGGATAGTATAACCGGTTTTAGAAATTGGACGACCATATTTTTTACCGGATTAAAAACCGGTTTGAAAAAACCGGATAAAAAACTGGTTTTTTATCCTGAAAAAAATCCGGTCTGGGGTTTAAAAAATTGGATGACCGGTTTTTTTACCAGATTAAAAACCAGATTTTTTTAAAACACCGGATTTTTTCAAACCGAAACCGGTTACACCGGTTACATCATCCGGCCCTCCAAATCGATTATGATCCGAACCGATTTTTTTATTAACCGATTTTTTGATTTAATAAAAAAACCGGATCGATTTTTATTCGATCCGGATCGAATTTAAATCCAACTATGTGCAACTCTACTACCACGGGTGGCTTTGCATTTAATACTTCTAAATACAATGAATTTTGATGACATTTGCAAAACAAAGGGAGGGTTGTCTTTCTTTCCGTCTGTCTCCCACCCATAAGATTTTGACGGGACACCGAAATATTCAAGAATAAAATTATTTGCATTTAAACCTTTGTACTATAGTGATCCTTAAACTCGAGTGTTGGTATATCGTCCAGCATTGAATCTCTCTTAAAGTGTGATTGATGAATTCAAAAGTTGATGATTCAATAAGAAAATGTAAGCTTTAGAGCGGGGGAAAGTTTTGTTTTTGTTCTAAAGTTTTATGTAATGCCTTTAAAACATTGATTTTTTATCGCTACTTGTTATGTTCTACGATCATTAACTTTCCCCCCCCCCCTAGAATATTACCTACTTAATTTATTATCATTTAAAGAACAAACTACCGATACCTGTCCTGAGCACTAACTCATAACTAAACAATCTCAACTCGAAAATATGTCGCAAGAGACGGTCCATTTATGTACCACCAAGGGCCAAGCCTGCATACAAATTGACAGCGCATTTACACCAATACATAAACAGTTTTGTGGTAAATACTGAAAAGGGAAAGATTTCACCTCTTTTGCAGATTTATTGGGCTGGTTGCATTGCATGCCACGCTTGTCGTAATGACATCAAAAGATTCAGATGGAGAATCCAGTAGCAATTCAGCAATTATGCCGATTTCAGTTGCATCCTGGAGAAAGCAAAAACGGATATATGGTCCACAACCCCCCCCCCCCTTTTCTTCTTTGATTAGTGATAAACTCAAGTCTTCAATCCACGCCCCCCACAAAAATATGATAAAATAGTATATCATAATCTACAGAGTGAATCTGCATTCAATGGAATCCATAAAACACCATCAAATTTTCCGAAAAAAATTGACAATTTCAGCATTCTTAAATCATACAAGTCACGATTTCTCTCTAAAATTCAGAGGATCCTACAATAGTTGTTCAAGAACCCCATGTGTCAAGAAGAAGATCAAGCTACTGCTTTCTTCCCCTTCCCTTCTTTGTTGGCTGTGCTTCCATCTGTTCTTTCCCTGTAATTTCTGACATGTCCACTGCATCACAAGAATGCTAACTAGTTACAGCTTTCACATACAAAACCAAACACAAAAAAACGAAAATGTTGGGAAAATAAATACATGGACAAACTTTGGCATATTTTCCAACTATGTTTTTGTATCACTTTAACTTTCATGGAATGATGACTTCTGTTTTGCTACATAGTCAAGAAAGATAAGTCATAATGAAGTAATGAAGAACAATACCATCAGGTCCCCGAGCCATCAAGGTAAAGAATATATTGTTCAGTTTCTCCATCTTCTTCGCCTCCTGTGCTTGATCTGTCTTGAACTTGAGGCACTAATAACAAATAAAATAGTTCAACAATGAGAAAATCCATTGAATATACCATGAAAGAACTAGGGGACTATCAAATACAGATTTCATACATCCCAAATATTACAACTGATCAAACTCTTTTCTTTGAAAAAAAAATCTAAAGTCCAAAAACACGACAGTATCCAAAAGAAATGAAAAACCTAAAAAAAGTAGTGTATTATCATATTCACTGAGGAGACGCTGATTGGAAAGATTACTATCATATTTTCACAACGAACTGATTATGCTAATGTTTATAAGAGATCTGCCTTTAGCCCATCCAGAGGCAATTGTAGGTGCAGTATCTAATTAGGTCTTTATAGATTCAAACTTGAGATATTCAAGCAACACAGAAGGTAAGTATGAAAGTTCAAGATTTCAGTTTAAATATTGCTATAGAGTATAGACACCTAAACACAACTGAGCAACGCAGTTGACGCAGAAAACAAGCATTACCATTACGTGTTTTGAAGATCTCAAATCCAGGCAAGAGTCGCCAGGAACATTAAGTCCATAAATAGAAATCTTCTTTTAACTTCTATGCCAATCATCACCTTTCAGTTCATGATTTCAAGTGATGTGTAGGTGAGTAAGTGAGTTAAAGAAATCAGTTTAGTACTTGCTATAAACTTATCTAGACACCATTGAGCAACTCAGTTAACATGGAAAGCAAGCATAACCATTGAGGATTTTGAAGATCTCAAAACAAGACAAGAGTCACAAGGAACATTTTGTCCATATAATAGAAAATTTCCTCTGAAACCGCCATGCCAATAACAATCTTTCAATAATTTAAGTCGGGGATTACAGTTTGTTAGTTTAAGAAATCAGTTTAATACTTGCAATAAACTTGTCCAAACACAACTAAGAAACTTAGTTAACATAGAAAGCAAGCATAACAAATTGTGGATTTTGAAGATCTCCAAACAAGGCAAGAGTTGCAAGGAACATTTTGTCCATATAATAGAAAATTTCTCAAAACACCAAATTTCATCACTTCACCCGTTAATGAAAAACTCATTGGGATGACTTCTTTGAAGTTCTTTCAATGCAATTTTCTTCTCCTTCCCCTATCACGAGTCTTACAAAAATTGATAAATGCAACAAAGGTCATTGCAAGATTGACTCATGCATTATTGCTACTAATGAGACAGCCAAATGTTTTTTAGCATTTTCCCTAATTAGGGGCCAGAAATGAAAAGCGTGAACAAGTTTAATTGCAATTTATGCCGTATAGTCTACAGAATACAGCTGCAAAAGAGATAGGAAACTAACAAGACATGTTTGTTTATCAAGGAGTTGTGCAGATCAGGTTTTTACTTTCCTAAAAAAATGCTATCAGATTCCCCAGTTTCTATTTGAAAGGCATGGTAATAATCCAAACTATTAAAAGAAAAAGGAATGTTCCCTTGTACAACTCCGGAACTAAGGATCTGTTTAGCATTGCTTTTCAAGCTATAAGGAATACTAAACAGATATATTTTCAAGCAATGTTACCCGGAAAGCAGATCAGTTCAATATGAGGAACGAAAGATGGAACTGGATTTGCTACTTCTATAAAACGTAATTCGATAGTAGTAGTCCTCTCCGGTTTATTTAGTAGGAACAAAATAAAATTTATTACAACATAAAACACGTTTTTGAAACTTATAGATCATTTTTGTTTTTATATAAACACATAATTCTAAATAAATTAATTCTAAAATTTGTGATTTGTCTTTTTTACTTGATAATTTTCCAATAAACTATATTTACATGGGATCACCAGCGTTCCTTGATTCGGAACGTAATTACCAATTTGAAAATCGCTGGGGAGTCCGTGATTTCGGATAATAGAGTTTTCAAGCCAAAAATAATTTTCAAACTGGGCTTTTAAACCAACTAGCTTTTAGCTTTTGGAAAAACACTTTATTGGCATGAGAGGAAACAACTAAGTTAAAGCAATCGAGTTAAACCAAAATCATTATTGGCAGAGATACCCCGGTTCTATCATGCCGAGCTGCCTGTAAGACCTCTGTTGGTTCTTCCTTTAAGATGTATAAACCTACTGATTTTGTAAGAGCACCAACAGCCAACAGCCCAGCATTATATTTTAAATTCAATTATTTATTTTCCCCCATTTATCACCAACTATTTTTTCACTTACAAAATAATATTTAAAATAGACATTTTATCTTTTTAGAAATATTGTTTTGATGGCAATACTAAACGGTTAAAATCTAAACCAAAATTTTCCAAAAAGCACTTCTCCCGAGACTTTTAAAAAGAAGTGCTAAACTAACCCTAAGAAGCAGCAAAGCAAAAGAAAAATAGAAAAATGAAATCATTGCTGCAAATACATCAAAACGAGCTAAAATAGGCATAATATCAAGTACATTATCCACGTAACGCATATCAACAAATACATTCAAGGAAAAAAGATGCTCAAATTCTCATATTTTTCTCAATAAATCCCAAATCTACCTAATTCTCGGGAGCCAATCATCAATTAACATTTCAACATGAAAATTGACTCAGATAAATCCAAAGCAAAAGCAATTAGGGAAATTCGATCGATACCTCTTTGTCATCTGTAACCTTCAAAACCAATTTGCCATCGCAATGCCGGTACTTCATGCAATACCGCGTCTGGATCCCGCCCAATCCAGATCCAGCAAACAGATCAGAAAAATCACCATTTATTTAGTGACAACAACAGCAATAATCATAAGAGGGAGAAACAAAAAGAGGAGACTCAGATTTAGCATACAGATTCAGGACTGGCACGGAACAATTGTACGGTTCGCTCAACGAATTCGTCCCACGATGTTATGTAAACCATTGCGCCGTCAATAGAAGAAAGAACCGATTATGGGATGAGAATCTGCAAGACCGAGCGTAGCCTGCGTCACACTCAAAAGCGAAGCAGAGAATTTTATTGAATTTTGTTTGGGATGGCGGATATTATAGAAAAGTATTGCGGTTTAGGGTCATTTTTAAGCCAATAGAAGCTTGCCACGGCAGCAAAAAGAAGCAAAGTGTTGGACGGACTAGAGTTTAATTTTGCCGCCCCTGACTCGTAAGCGGAGAAAATAAGCAAACCGCTGCGTTTTATATCAAGTTATCAACATTCCTTTGTTTACGATGAAATTCTCTTTAACACCCCTCGGCTTCGTCAGCAACATCCAATTTTTTTATCAGATACATTTTTTAATAATAGCGTATGTGATTATAAGATAATAAATATTCGAAATATTCTTATTCATTTTACAATAAACTCTCAAACGTTTTTGTAGGCATCGTGTTCTAACACGAGACTTATAACAATAACAATGTCATAAGTGTGAACGCTTAATGTTAAATGATCGAGAGTAATCTTTAAACATATACTATCTATCTTGTGCATAGCTTAGATTATCAGATACTTTTGAATAAAAGAAGGGTATATTTCCATCCCGGTCACAATGAAAGAGTTCTGATCATGAAAGAAAATGCACAAGCAAGCACCTTTAGTTGAACACAGATTGATAAAAGTGGTTTAGGTATTTAGCTGTTCTAACTGTGCAACAGACCAAACAAGCTACACCAAAAAAAATGGTCAAATTAACATCGTTAAATGGAGAAACAAAATGCAGATTTCTGCTTTTTCAGCATTCATCTCACAGTAAACTGCTCATTCCGGACATAAATATTTATCATGTCACTGTATTCAACTTTCATTCCTGTCATGATTGTTCACGGATTCCATTATGGAATCTATAGTGAAGTTGTCCTAACTCACTCAGAACCCATCAGAAAACTACAAGGGGTTGCTTTGCATGCCAAAAACTTGTTTCAAGCAGGAAGTAGTTAACATATGTTTTATGACAAACATAAGAGACGGAGATATAATGGAGGATACCTACCTTAATTTCTTCAAAGGAACAGAACTCAAAACAATGTTGCAAATTGGACAGCATTCTAGTCCTCCTCTTGTATCTTATCATATATTATATGCACTTTCAGCAGACTACGTAAAATCCAAAAGAAGCCTATCATAAATTTCTAGTTGTTGACTCAGCAGAGTTACAAGGCACTGAAATGAAGATCACAAGTGAAGCAAAAATCATCTTGAAGTTTGAATCTTTCTTTAGACTTGTATAAATTTCTAGTTATGATTACTCAATCGATGTTTGATCAACTGCTCGCAGACTCTGTATCTTTTTCCAGTCTTGTCTCGAGTGGAAGACTACCGGCATCATTGGACCCATGTTTTTTCTGGAGCTCTTTATAGGTCTCTCCATTTTGCAGTCAAATTGGACTCAAATCCCTTCTCACCCATAATTCGAAGGATATTGAATAATTAAGCATATTCGAATGGAAATTGGGTATGGAACATTTAGATCCGTTTAGTTTTATTTGAATGGGAATACACTATTTGAGATGAGTTTATGGGAGTGATAAATAGACCAAGGAGGGATTATACGGCTGTTGACCGTTTTGAATGGATTGGGTCGTCTTCTAGGGCCTACTCACCGAAGAGCTTCATCGTTAGCAATTGGGTCGATGCTGATAATTGTTGGAGAATCCGGCAAAGATGTTGCATGTTGTGGAGTATTAGTTTTGTGTCCAAAGAACACTTGAGAGTTCAGTACGTCCTGGGAAAATCAACCGATTAGATCTTCTGCCAAACTTGTGTGGAGGATGGTGTTCTTCGGAGTCATATGGACTATTTGGTTGTATCAAAACGACGCCTTTTTCAACAACAAAAATTTCAAATGAAGGCCGTGTATTCGATTTGGCTATGTTGAGGGTGGGATTTTGGTGCAAGTGCAAATGGCCTACATGCTGCCCATCAGTCCTTGATTTCTTTCGATCTCCCTCCAATATCGTAGTGATGGGTAAGTAACCCTGAACTTCATTAAAGCATGGGTAAGTATTGTTCTTGTGATCGAGGGTATCTTTGACCGTCTTATATACGGAAGGTTTTGGTCTGTACCGTGTTTGTATGCTTGTTCTTTGACTCATACTGCATAACTATTCTGAATTGTCTACCCTATAACTGGGCACATTCGTTTTCCAAGTGCTGATTATGGGTCTACTATGTCATTGTGTTATGCTTTTGCTTCTGTGTATCATTTTTCTTGAGCTCGCAAGTAGTGGCAGCCGGCAGGTGTGCCATTGCCATCTCAAGTGCGATCTGGCTGTCTTAAATTTCAATTGAAATGTTTTATTAAATTTTGAATTCGTTTTAATTTTTTATATTTTGATAGACGTGTCGGATCTTATAAGAAAATTTAAAGAAAGTGGATTAGATGTAATTGAAGCACGTGTATTTTGGAATGTGCATGAATCGGATCGTCGTCAATATAATTTTAGTGAAAATCTTGATCTTATTTGATTTCATTAAACGATTCAAGACAAGATTTTATGCTTGGATGAACCGAGGTAACTTTAGTCGTCATTCTTCTGCTAGCTCCCATTAACTTCCCTTCCCAGTTCCGCATAAAAACTCCTGACCATGCAATCTTTTGTGCTTGGATGAACCGAACATCAAAATTCACCTTGACTGATGGGGAGACTGGAGGCTTCCATAGAACTATGGGGGCGGGGATGAAGAATGCAGACACACTTTTGTTGTGGTGATGTCCAGGCACTATGCTTTCACAAAGGTAATTATATCTTCAGAACGCATACGATGACCCTCATGAATAAGGTAATTATATACTTTTTTTGTTTTTAATTAATAATATATATTTTTAACATGAATGCGTAGAAAAAATGTCGTGTTCATTCAAGATTTATGGAGATAAATTCAAAAAGTCTATTGTGGATATAGAAGATTTTCCGTCGAAGCCGTGTCAGACGAGTTATGGATCAGATTTGAGTTGCCATTGAACACCAGTGAAGCTTAGAAATATAGAATTGTTATGAAAGAAAGAGGAAATCTTTGAGAGAGAAAGAGATAAAGATGAAGAGTAAGTGATAATATGATATTATTGTTAATTGTCGTAACATACAAATTTCATACATGTAAGCCCAATAATGAGCCTATTTATGCAGCCCACTAGAGCCTAACAATCTAACTAACATTAGTTACAAAAAGTTAAAGGATTGTATTCTAATACTCTCCAAGATTCCCTATTAGAATACTCTAATATTCCTCTGGTTCTTCTTCTTTAAGTCCTGATTGAACTTCTTCATAAGACTTAACACCAAGCTAAAATCGAAGACGAGGAAAAGAGGCCCTTGGCACTGGTTTGGTCAAAATGTCAGCAATTTGTTCACTGCTAGGAACAAAATTGACTACCAGCTGCCCAGTAAGAACTCGTTCTCGAACAAAAAACATGTCAATCTCTACATGTTTCATACGAGCATGATGTGTAGGATTAGCTGCTAGAGTGACTGTGGAAGTGTTGTCACACCAGGCGACTGGTCTTCCATAAATAGAGACACCAATTTCTTTCAACAATTGTTCTATCCATATAAATTCAGAAACTGCATTTGCCAAGATTCTATATTCAGCTTCACAGGTGGATCTTGAGACCACACTTTGCTTCTTTGAGCTCTAAGCAATGAGATTCCCACCAAGGTAAATACAAAAACCCGTGGTGGATCTGTGATCTTCAACTGATGTTGTCCAATCAACATCAGAATAGCATACAAGCTGAAAAGGATCTCCAACAACAAAGAACAGACCATGATCTAAGGTCCCCTTAAGATTCCTTAGAATTCTCTTAACAGTTGTCCGATGTGTTGTACAAGGAGCATTCATATACTGACTCAACATGTTCACAGCATATGAAATGTCCGGGTGAGTAAGGCACACATACTGAAGACCACCAACAGTACTCCTATAAAGATGTACATTAGAAAAACACTCATCATCATTAGATGTGAGCTTAGGAGTGACTGCTATAGGAGTTGATGTAGGAGCAGCCTGCAGCATACCAGTCCGAGACAATAATTCCTTAATGTACTTTCTCTAGTTTAGAAGCACTCCTTCTGGATAGGATTGAATCTCCATCCCAAGAAAAAAACCAAGTTGACCCAAATCTTTGAGGGAAAACTCAATATATATTTGCAGCAGCACAATCTGATCAACCTCCTCAACACTGCCTCCTGTGATCACTATGTCATCAACATACACCATAAGCAACACTGTTGACTTTGCTGAACACTTGATAAACAAAGATGTATCAGCTTTTGAGGCATGGAACCCCATCCTAGTGACCAAATTTTTTTTAAGTGTGTCAAACCAGACCCTTAGTGCTTGTCGAAGCCCATACAAGACTTTTTTCAGGTGACATACAAGATTTTCTCCATGTGGCCCTTGTTGCTCAAATCCATGAGGTTATGTCATGTGTATGTCTTCAACCAACTCGTCATTCAAGAAGGCATTGTTTATGTCAATCTGCCTTATCGCCCATCACTTCATCACAGCAGTGGCTAAAACAGTCTTGATGGTACTTGACCTCATCACAGGACTAAAAGTTTTGCTAAAATCATACCCTGGTGTTTGAGAAAAACCCTTCGCTACCAGTCTTGCTTTGAGTCTCTCAACCGACCTTTCAGGCTTTTTCTTAACCCTGAATAACCACTTACATTCAACAGACTTCCTTGAAGGAGGTAAAACTTGAAGTTCCTAAGTCTGTTTTTTTAGAGCATTATATTCCTGATGAACAGCCAGATTCCAATCAGGATCCTTTAGGGAAGTATACACATCAGAAGGTTCTGATGCAATGTGATGTGTGAGAAGGGATTTAGGCTTAAAAATACCAGCCTTCCGCTAGTAACCATTGGATGAGCATTTTAAACACGGGGTGAAATAGATGGTGATGAATTTGTGGGGATGAAGTGATGGAAGTGGGAGTGGATGAAGATGATAACGAATATTGATGTGATATAGATGGAGATAACAGATGGGGTGGAATTAATGAATGTGAAAGTTGTGAAGATTTTACAATTTAAATTTATTTTATTTTTAAGTAAAGTTTTAACTTCATTTTATTTTTAAATAGTTTAGGAAAATAATTGTAGTCACATACTACGTTATGATGTTTCCGAATAACATTAATATATATATATATATGAGTATTTTTTTCTTTTCATTTCCATCCTTGTTTTCAAGGCAACTTCAATTTGATGTGGTGGAATCATATCAATATATTAATGTTTGTTTATGTAGCTTTCTTGTGTTTGTCCTGGATCAGTCTGTTTCATAGGTGGATGTTGTGACACGTGGGAAAAACTGGTTGGGTCTATGTTGATAGGGGATATCAGGCGAAGGGTAAATTGGTTTCCCTTGGAATCCTGCTGTCATTGTAGCAAAATCACTAAGCTCAGTTTAGCAGTTTCTTGTCTTTCCCCGAATTAAAGAAGTAATATGGCTGCCATCTCTCCTACCTCATCAATCACCCCTGCAACTGTTGCTAGCAGGCCTCCAACGAGGCTTGCATCCCCGGTCGCCATTGTTAAGTTTCTATGATAATTTCATTTTCAATTCAACTGCAAAATTTGCTTCCAGGGTTGCAAGGACGGCAAAGAAAGGGAAAGTGACATGTTCAATGGAGAAGCCGTGTGATGAGGAGAAATACTCAGCGATGAGCATGAGAGCGTCGTTGCTGGCAGCAGTGTGTGCGGCCACCATGCCAAGCCCAACAGTGATGGCTCTGGTGGACGAGAGAATGTCCACAGAAGGAACTGGACTTCCCTTTGGTTTGAGCAACAATCTCCTAGGGTGGATCTTGTTCGTGGTATTCGCCTTGATTGGGCTCTTTACTTTGTTTACACTTCCTCTCTTGAAGAGGATGAGGAGTTTGGACTGTCCCTCTAAAGCTACATCATGTTGAAAGACTGTTCTATCCTGTAATAAAACTACATCATGCACGTCCAGGGTGCATTCTCCTATCTTCTTGGATAATTGGAATTTTATGTGTAAGATATCCAGTAATACCACTGTTGCAGTAACAATATAGTACAATATATATACATATATATATCTTCTGTCCAGGTCTGACAACCCACTAAACCAAAAATCAAAGCCCCCCACTATGAAAGTGCTTCCATCATTGTCCAATAACCAACTTTGATACAAAAGAGACCAGCATATCAAATGAGGTTTGACAATTCCCTTCCCTTTTTTCATCTATCAACTTGTCAAGGCATGAAGGGCCTGCCTGTATCTTTTTATGCAGACATCAAACCCTGTTTCAAACTTTTTAAAAAGGCAGGAAAAGAAAGGCATCTCTGACTTGTATTTTCGTAGTGTGGGACCAAGGATGGACTGTGGGATGCATACCCTTATTTCCGTTCTCTTTAATTCTCGGGATCTATGAAAGAGGATTTGTTTCTGGCTTGACGACAGAGGATGTATCCGGCGGTTGTGCGTGGTGGATTGCAGTGGCGAGTGAGATAGGCATGATGCAGAGGGCCTTTGATTGAAGGAATTGCATGGCAGCTCCAACGTTCTCTTCCATAAGTTTGGCTACCTGTCGCTCAGTGCCGTCGCTTGACCATATCTCCCACGCCGGTTGGCTCCTTCCACCCTCACCACTTCCATCCTGGTGTGTGATAAGAGGAAAGCTTAATTGCCCGATTGAACAGTCACAATACAATATAAAAGGAAAACGTGGCACATATGAATGATTACGTATTTGTTACCTCAACTGATGATAGTGGGATGTCTGTTACAAGTGGTGCCACTGCACCTGCCCCGCCCAACCTACTCATGCTCAAAACCTGTTATATTATCAACAAACAATGATCCCTAAATATATTGGCAAAGGATAACTTTGGAAACTACAAGGCACATTCATCTAATAAGAACTCATAGATGAATCCCATACACATGACCTGAGCAGCATTACAATATGCAGTTTTAAAAGAACGGAATACGAAGTACAAAGTCAAACGGTAAACAGAGTTAACGGTACCTTAACTTGGAGCCTCAGGAACTTCACATAATCTATAATTTCATCAAGCATGACTGCTCTATCAGTCTGCACAAAAAACATATGTCACTACTAAATGAAAAAAGATATATTACCACGGTTAACTTTCCCCAAACACACCAATCTACCATAAAGTCAACCGTCTCAAAGAGATCCATATAATAATGATCAACCTAGCTAGGTTAAACAACACAGTTAACCATAAAATTTTGAGATATTAGCTCTCAGATTAGAACACCCGAATGCATTCCATATTTACAGGCAATTTGACTTACAATAAAGTTAGATCAGGAATGAAACGAAGTGGAGAAACCCTCGAATAATAAAGTTACATTTTAGCGCCTTCACATCTCAAGTTTAGCCGTAAAACTATATTGCAAGGCTATACAACAAGATACTGGAAATACAAAGTCATTTCATTTGAAACATTAAAAAAGGAACTGACCTTGTTAACATTAGGAACAAGTTCCTGTAATGCTCTGATTCTTTCAGCAATTCTCTCCCTGCGCAACTGTACCAATGGAGAAAATGGAAAGGTTGAATATGACTGGTTCAGGTGCAACTGTCTATTGAGCAGGTTCACTTTGGAATTTCTCAACATAAAAAGTGGCAATAAATATAACTCTATTCAAGGGGATAACTTCGAGATCAATATTAATCAAATAAAAAAAATGGCATTTAAAAAAAACAATTTCATTCAAACAGCTTATATTATCGGATTAATCACTACTTATGTTGCAAGGCATCAACTCAGTCTATCAGTTTCTAGCTTCCTAAAATTTTCCTGGCTATGGAACTAATGCCTTTTGATTCTAACCAAGAAGCATACCCGTTCAGCAATGCTATGTGGATCTGTGGCCTGTCCTCGTCTAGCCCGCACCCTCGGACGCATTGTTGGTGGATGAGGTGATGGAGCAACAGTTGCAGGCATTGGTGAGCCATGGAAAACCTGGAAATTTATATAGGTCATGTCTCGATGATAGGGTTTACAAAACCATTTTCCTCGAACAACCATCTCTCTTCTCAACAAGGAAAAAGGGTAAAGCAAAAAAGATCATCACCATAGCAGCAATAGTTTGAGTGAATCCAATCTAGTGGAAAAGACAATAGAAATCTTACCAGAATCTTCTACACTTCTAAAAAGTAGTGCATAATATTTCCTATAAAATTTGTAGGATGAACTGCCATTACAAATAACTAAAACACAAAACCAACTGCTCCAGATGATATAACATCTTCTAACACGATCAGAAGCTGTTCTGACATTTGACACCTTCCACAAATAAGTGAACTCCGTCTTACATGATATTCACAATTTTTGGCAACTAGGCTGTTCTGATATTTGAGTTTTCTTTCACTATGTGACTAAAGCTTTCATTTTGGGGTAATTAGAATAATTCTACACTGCAAGTAGGTTTATGCCTCTCATTGACAAAGAAACATGTTCCGGTTTCTCTTGGTGGTTGGGGGGGGGAGCGGTTAATTAATGAGAAATTTATCATCAGTTAGCAAATTACTATTTTCCTTACACTTTTCACAGAAGAAGCCCTGCCATCAACGTCTTCATCTCGAAAGCGCTTGCTGCTGCCGGAAGCTTCCTCGGGCTTCAAAACCCCGCCTTTTCCTTGGTCCAAGCTCAACCCCAACGGAAAAACCTGTCCGGGAAACGCACCGCCTCCAATTCCGCCGAGATTTCCGGCTCCGTCACCGGAGCTGAGCTGTAGAAACATTGGCGCCGCAGCTCCCACAGCGGTTCCAGCCATTCCACCGTCGGGTCCCGCCAAACCCGACTCGGAAGGCGCGAAGTCAGGGAGACCGAGGATTTGCTCGAGGAAATCATCCGCGGGAGCTTCGTGAGGGTTATTAGCCATGAGAAAGTCGAAGAGGGATTGAAGTGAGTCGAAGTACCGTTTTAAAGCTACCAAAAAGCATCAACATGCAAACAAGTTGAAAACCCAACAGAATACTAAAAAAGAAAATGAAGTCAGTTCATATCTTTCTGTTTCCAAGCTTCAACCTTTAGATACTTGGGTTTTCGTGGGTTTGGGGTTCTTAACTTGAGAGCTCTGAGAAAGATACGGAAAGGGTAGAAGGGGGAGGAAAAGGGGGTTAAAAATGTAGCCTTTTGTCAGTTTGTGTTGAAGTTCGATCAAAATTATGTGTGGGAAAGTATGATTCCATATGATTCGGTTCGATTTTTACTTTTTATTTTTCATAATTCATCAACTTTTATTTTTAAGGAAAATATATAAATGGTCCCGCGTATATATATATTACTTCATTTGAATCTCTTAATTATTAAAAATTAAAATAAATTATATTATTTCTCATTCAATTATTTAATTATTTTAATTTTATCATCGATCTTTTAATTTTATCAATTAGATCATTTAATTATTTAATTATGTTCAATTAAACTATTAGTCATTAATGGTTAACAAAAATATTGATGTAATGGTTAAAAAAATTTGTATAATTACATTTAATCCTTAATATTTATATATTTAATATTTATATATTATATCAATGTAATCTTAATTTAAATTTAATTTAATAAATTAATCATTCAATCAATAATTATAATGTATCAACACATGATTATGACATCACCTGATTTAAAGATTTTTTTATTAATTTAAAATTATTAATTAAATAATTTTTTATATAATCAAATGGTGACAATAAAACTAAATTACAAAGAATAAATTTTAGAAGGGCTGTAAGGATTCGTACCTAGGCATCAAAGATAGTGGAAGCACGCCAATGCCAATGGGCTATCTTCGACATTTGTATACACAATAATATATATATTGACATTACAGTTAATGCCACCTCAAAACGTAAATTTAAAATATGTATATTTTTAAACTAAATTTGATATTTTCTTTTTCTTTTTACATTTATAATTTAGTGATTATATATAAAATGTTAAATTAATTATTTTTAATTTAATTAATAATTTTATTGTTTATAAATACAAATTGTATAAAAATATAAATGATTTAATTTATATTTAAATGTATGAGCCATTTGATTAGATAGAAAATTTATTTAATTAAATAAATTAAAATTAATAAAAAAAAATATTCAAATCAAGTGGTGACACGTGTCTATAGTGACACATGTCATGATCATGTGTTGACACATGTCAGTTATTGATTGAATGATTAATTTATTAAATTAAATTTAAATTATAGTCAAATTGATAGAATATATAAACATTAAGGACTAAATGTATAGTTATGCCAATTTTTTAACTACCATGTCTGCATTTCCATTAACTATTAACAGCTAGTGGCTTAATTGAACACAATTAAATAGCTAAGTGCTTTGATCGACAAAATTGAAAGATCAATAGCAAAAATAAAAGATCTAAATAATTGAGTAGTTAATGGTATAATTTACCCTAAAAATTATAAAATATCCTCAAACTATAGGAAGTTGTTTTGTTGAGTCTGTTGACTATTAAAAGTTACAAAATAGTCACGTGACTATTTATAATGTTTCAAACTAGTCCTTTTTCATAAAAAAATTTAACGGTCATCTGAGCTGAATATTAACATGTTGACTGAGATATGACAGTCATTTGAGATTATAAGATCAAATTTTATCATATCTCAGTCAACAAGTTAGCGTATAACTCAGACTACTGTCAAATTTTTTAATGAAAAATAACGAGTTTGGAACATAATGAATAGTTGAGTGACCATTTTGTAACTTTTGATAGTCGAGTGACTCAACAAAGCAACTCCTTAAAATCAGGAGACTATTTTGTAACTTTTAATAATCAAAGGACTCAATAAAACAATATCTTATAGTCAGAGAACCATTTGTGTATTTTACCCTTTATTTTTATATTGTTCTTAAGATTTTATATTTTATTTTAGTAAAATGGTTTTATTTTATGTATATTTTTTTTAAAAAAAGTATGTATATTTTTATTAATTTGAGATAAATATAAAATGTTATCTATTCAAATTATTTAATTATTTTATAACTATAAATTTTATTTTTATATTATAAAAATTAATTATAAATTAAATAAAAGATCGAAATTAATTTGATTTTGATAATGGTAATTTTTAAATTATGAATTATAAATAGTCCAAATATAAATATTTAAATCAATTTTCAATTAATTGGTTTCATGAGAGGCCATGTTATTTTCTTCCTTTTTTTATCCGTCTATGTTAATAGATAGTAGGTGGTCTTACAACGGTGTCTTTTATTCGTGAAATTTTACTTCAACTCCGGCTGAATATATTGAAAAAATAAAATAAAAATTATGTCAATAGTCTCTTTTATTTTTTGTCTAATCAACTTTGATCATTAATTTTTTTAATTAAACGCGTTTGATCCCTTACATTATCGATCGGTCCGATTTAAATTACTTAACCGTTAAATTTCGTCCATTAACATAAGTTCGAATTGGTAATTAATATATATATATATATATATATATATATATATATATATATATATATATATACACGTGTCTTCTTCTTCTTCTTCTCACCTCAGTCATTAAAACATGCTGGATCACGAAATCTAAGAATTCATACCTCAGCTACCTTCTTCTGAAACTCATATTCCACTTGAGCACGATATTCAGAAATCTCTTTCTCTGCCTCTTACTTTGCTTGTCTTAGTCTAGCCATTTTTGTTGAAGAAAGAAACTAGAAGATGATCCACATGCTTGGGGTCATTTACACCTTAAACCCGATAATGTTTTGGTCCGAGAAGATGGACATATAATGCTTTCAGATTTCGACCTCTCTCATAGATGCACCGTCTCGCCGACGTTGGTTAAATCATAAAACTCGACCGAATCGAAAAATTTAACATTTTGTACTCGGCCTGCATGTTTGCAACCAACATGTGTACTATAGTCGTATTGTATCCAACCTGCATGTTTCGAGCTGACTTTTTTTTTCTTTCGAACAAGCTTAAGAAAGACAAAATAAAGAATGAATCGAATCATCGAGTCCTCTTCTTGAGCTCACTGCAGAACCTACCAATGCTCGATCGAACCTACCGTCAATCACCGCGTGATTAAACCGAACAACCGATGAAGATACCTTCGCCGAGCTCGATGACTTGGACGGCCATGATTAACGTCTGTCCTCTGTCACCAACACCTTTCAAGGAGTCTCTTCAATCCAGAATCGGTCTTCATTGTTAATTGTGGTGTCTGTTATCGGAAGACGAGAAGCGCAATATTCGATTTCTTGGCACATGTTGGAAATTGAATGGATGCAAGGTGGACGCCATACATTTCCCATCCGAGATCAAAGCACCCACCCACCTCGGAAAAATATGGATGATCTTCGGCCAATTTTATTATGATCGCTCAATAATCCTCTCAAAAGACACGAGTGAAACCCAAGTTCTAAAAAGCATCCATACAAATGGCATAGTCAAACTCCTTTATCGATAACAATTATCTCTTTAACCACTGAAATCGTTTAGTTTGTACGCTAACTTCTTATTTTTATATAAGATAATCACATCATTTTAGTTACCACAATGTACGATATAAAAAAAATTGTATTTAACATTTGATTAAATAATCTTGGCCCCTAATATTTTATTTTAATTTATGATAAAAATATTCTTATTGTTTGATTAAATAGTCATTTTGATTCGTATTTTTTTTTAACATTTTAGCCCACAACGTCTCATTTTAAAGGGAAAAATGTTCTATTTTAGAACGTTAAATGTTTGTTGACTAATAATTTTTATCTACAAAAAAGACATTTTATCTCAAAATGAAACGTTAAGGATTAAAATATTTCGAAAAAAAATGGAGCAAAGTGACTATTATCAAATATTAGGATTTTTTAACATCACGCCTTAACAAAATAGTGGTTATTATTTTATTTGAGCAAAACTTTAAATTTTAAAAAAATATAAAATATAAAATTAAAACATTATAATTAAATTCATAATTTATATAATATAAAAATTGTTAGTAGAATTTGACATAATAAATTTAATAATTATTATTTAAAATAAAATAAAATTTTAAAACAATATAGAGATTAAAGTGACCCGATTAAAAAAAGGATTAAACTTATAACTTACAACAGTGTAAGGTTAATTAACAAAAAATTTCAAAAAATTTTATTCCTTTATTGCAATTCTCAAATTGGGCAAGTTGCAATTTTTATTATTTTCTAAAAAAAATAATTGCTCAAGTTGGTATTATTCATCTCATGTACTTTTGTCTCATTTAATTTGTCCATATTTGTTCTCTAAACAAATTCAGATTTTATAAATTTCTTTCAAGTACACGTTTAAAATTTATGTAATTTAACAATTATATTTTTTTTTCTATTTTGAATATGTTTAAATACGACATTTATGCTTTAAATATATGATTTTTTATAATATAATCTATTGACTATAATCAATATGAAAATTAATTTTATAAACATTGTTCGAATAATGTTAAATGTCATTTTATATAAATTTAGAAAGTTTACATTATTTAAATATTATAGTAATTGTTATTTTTTTACTATCAATGTTTTAAATCATAACATATACAAATATTACAAAAAATTAATCAAGGTATCTCGAGATTCATAATATCTGATTTTTTGATATTATTTCTGACAAGTCGCATAATATTTTAGATATTAAATTTATTGTTAGACGATTATATCTTTTAATCCTACAAACTTACGATTAATCATTATAATTTTAAAGTTTGACATCAATATTAGAGGTCAATATATAAAACTTTATATAAGATTGAGAAAATTGATCAATTCTCTCTTTTGAAATTTCCTAACATTCATCACCCTTAATTTATAATCGAGGGGTCTTCGTGGTAAAAGAATTGTTGTTATTTTTTTAAGACTCGAGTTCGAACACCATAAAAGCTGGGAGTGTGAAAATTTATTGTCAAAAGATTAAGATTTGACGTTGAGCAAATACTATTTTGGATTTACCCAAATTAGTAAAAAAAAAGATAAATTATTTTTTTACTATAACAACCTATATTTTACTATTAAACTTCTAATATCAAAAGTTGAATTAGTAAATTATATTTGTTAGGATTATCATAGATAGTT